AGATTGCATCAGTGTCACCGATATGCCCCTACCTGAATTGCAAGACTTCATTCATTTTTCTCCAACTTCTATCCCAGCATCCGTTGCACTTCCAGCATTTCACCTTCATCAGTGCATTTTATGGATCTCACTGTCACCAATGGTCTCTAAAGGCCTCAGCGCCTCAGTGTACTATAAGCCTACTGATTCCCATGCTTTTCTTTACACATCCTCTCATCCCTCTTCCTGCAAGAATTCCATTCCTTTCTCCCAGTTACACCTCTGAAGATAATGCCAGAAGAACGACGACTTTCACAAGGCCCTAGAAATATTGTACTTTTTCCAGCTCCAAGGATATCCGGAAAAATTCTTATCTGCTGCCTTTCACCAAGCATGGTTTATCTATCATGCTGGGGCTCTCGTTTCCAAGCCTAAACATCACCACAACAGACTCATTCTCATACTTACCTACCACCCTCACAACATCCATGCTAAAAATATTCTCCTCAAGCATCTCTCTATCCTTAGGGCTGACCCTACCACCAACAAGATTTTCTCTAAACTTCCTCTAGTAGTCTACAGGCATGACTGTAATCTCAAGGACATTCTAGTTAAGAGTTGGTTACGTTCGGCCTCTGAGTCCCACTTTGGGATGGTCTCTTGCCACAGACCTGTGTGCGGAACCTGTCCATATGTGGGTCAGGGTATCAGCCTGGAATTTCCAAATGCCACCTTCCACATATGTAAAGCATTCTATTGCCCGAGAAGTAATATTAAGAGATGTGGCATGAAATACATCAGTGAAACGGGTTTACGACTGGCTGTCAGGTTCAGACAACATCTTTTGGATGTGCAGAATGGTGCCCTGAAACCAGTCCCTTTGCATTAAATTCCCAGGAACATCAAGGTATCCATGACATGGAGGTGACAGTCATTAAATCTTGCCACTCCAGCGACAGAGTTCGCAAGTCTCTTGAAAATCTCTCTATATACACTAAGAAATCGTACAGTTTATTGCTCAGAGCTTGCAGCTCCCAAAACTGTTATAGGGAGAGACCTTTCTTGGTTCTCGTTATAATGTGATTAACGTTTAAAAGAAAATGCTAAGCATCTGTCACATGTTATGCACAGGTATTTCTTGGAATTGAATCTAGTGTTCTGGAAAAGTGATTATTTAGTGAGAACCAGATGACTGTCACTTTTGATGGATTAATCGTTGCCCCTGAAGTGTTGCACCAGGATGATCATCATAATCATCATCCGGTGCCTTGCTGACTGGCGTGGGCGATCATGCCTTTCCACAATCGGCAATCTGCAAGCATGTATCAGTTCGTGTGCCGACACACCTCCGTGCCATGCAACAAGACTGTCAAGAATCTTCTCTCATTGTCTTCCTCTATCCCTCTTTCCTCAACATGTTCCATTTTCTCACTTCTCATAACAGGGCCGAAAAATGATAACCGTCTCCTTCTGATGTCTGTGATAAGTTTTGTTCGGGATCCTGCCTCTTTACGATATACGATACGATACGATACAATACGATACGATTTTTTGGCTATCCAAGGTATTTTAGGCATTCTTCTGTAAAACCACATCTCTGAGGCCTAAACAAATTGTTTGGCCTGCCTACTGATTACCAGGATGATATGCGATCTAATTCCTGCTGTGGATCTGAAAAGATGTCATCTCCTTTCCTGGTCTCTTGGTACATGAAGATGTCATCCACATATGAAGAACAATAGAAAGCCCTGTTTTAAACCGGGATGAATTGTTATTGGTTCAGAAGACCAACTACCACATTGAAGCATGACCTTCCTCTGCACAAGAGGGGCAGATATCCATCGAATGAGATGTGGGGGGGGGGGGGGGGGGATGTTGAGTTCCATTAACTGACACATGTTGATGAAAGGAAACTATGCTGTATGCATCCTCCAGACCTATGGCATTTGAAAATCTTTAAATGTGACATGTGCAAAGATGGCAGCATAACGCCATGTCTCTGTGTTTTCTCTGTATCCTCCAAGTGTGGGAAGTAGCAGCTGATATATTTCAAGTTGGCTTGCCAGTCTTCTGTATATAATACCTTACAAAGGCAATAAGAAAAAGTTATGGGACATCATTGAAAATACTATAGTAAGGCTTCCCACAGTAGAAAGGGTACCATGGCGTTAACAAAAACATCCAGCATAACGTGATCATCAGACTTGAAAAAGAGTACTAAGAGGGGTGCAAGAGGACAGATTTGACAGTTAAACACATACTAAATTATCATCTTGGACATTGGATACACAAAATGTAGAAACCTACCGATACTTGGGAATAAGTAAATTAATATGGTTGAAATCTTCAAAGATAATTCAATGGAGAGGAGTCATCATCATCAATTTCTACTTCTGCCATTATGCATTGTGGGGAAGAACAATTTGCGATCCATTAATTGATAGACAGCTATGGCTATTGTCATTCCGTCTCAGTGTACAGTCTCTTTAATGGTGTCATCAGCCCATCTTCTCATAGGGTAGCCTTGTCACATGAAGTGTATGTCGCATGCTTCTATAGGGTTTCCCCTAATAAACGAAGACACTCAAAAGTGACCTAATGTTAGATACTGTCTTATATAGGTCTAGAAGGTACTCCTTAGCTCCAACGACCATCCAACATCACTTTAGGGATGAGGGAACTAAAATAATGGTTCCCACTACAATAATAAATATACCTGGGCATATCTTGGCCTGACTTCCTCACCACTTAAAATCCCCCAGACTAGATAGCAAACCTATCATAGTAAAATGTAACACAGTAATGAATCTGACCAGCAGCACTACACTCACAAAACAACCTAAAATAAAATAATTGAAAAGATTGGGCATTGACAAATTGGAAATCCAGAATAATAATACATAATGTAATAAGTACAACACAGGTATAGATTCTGAAAAGCAAACTGAAGAAGAGGACACGAGAAGAAAACTGAACTACCCTCACAACTCATCATGGCAACGATGCTGTTGTGATAAGAGTAACAATGGCACTCAGTGTCCTGGGTGGCTGCAAGTCTTGTTGAACCTAGAATACTTATCAGAGATGGATATGATCCTCTCCACACTTTGTAGGCCAGACTTGAATAGGTGCAGTGTTGAACAAAGAATACCTTAGTTCTGTGATGAAATTCCTCAAACACTATCTGATAACAATAAAATGGTGATAATGCACTTATTGTCAACGTTTTTTACACACTGGGAAAGGTTCCCTTAAAATATAGCAGTGTTCACCAACTGTATGTTCATTTGCATCCCTTTTTTTTGGAGCTTGTAGAAGACTAGATCATGGACTCTGTAGCTCACCACATTATGATATTTGTTTGGTATCAGCTCTATAGATCAAGTGTGACACCAAATATCACCTCCTGCTCCTTCATTTCAAAAACTGATGACAGAGGAATTTTTGTACTGATGTGCTGCATCAAAGTAGGTGTTGATGGCACTGACATGAGCTGCAACTGGATGATGCTGTTATATGTGCTGGTTCTGGCTAGGCCTCCAGAGAGGTCAACACACATTCCATGCTAAATTGAATTCTCATCAGTGTGGAAAGCTGTAGTTAGACCAATGGAATTTGGCTTCATTATCAATGAATCTCCCACCTATATGACTGAATAAAAATGTATGTCACTCCCAAAAGTATTAAGATAGAATTGAGTACTTAACCCGACATCTTGACACATAAGTACAAAAAAAGGACTATTTACCTATAGAGGAAAGTCCAAGATTTTAAATTGCCTCATCACCATAGAGATGACAAGATTTGGGCAGGTCCATGACTAGAGGGGTATGAGCTGTCATGCCACAGGCCTCTTGCTTTCACTTCAGATTTAAAGAAAATCTGTAGTCATGGTAGTTGTTCTGGGTGCATTCTTACTAGATGACCAAACCATTTGATCTTCTGTTTCTCACTGAATTCACTGCATGGTTTTGTTTCTACAGTCTAACTGATAATTTCATTTCTAACTTTGTCTTGGATGGCTAAGTTGGCAGCTTCTCTCAGGCATCTCATTTCAGATATGTTAATTTCACATAGGTTCACCTTTGATAATAGTAGCACAGTACTGGTATGAATAATCTGTTTCTTGGCGCTCAATTTTGTGTTTGGATATCTTAATAACGGTGGCAGTTGGTATATAAGTGCACTGGCTTGTTGGCATCTTATTTCTATTTCTCAATTTATTCTCTCATACTCCACAAATATACTTCTTTGGTGTTTAAATTCTTTAACTTGCTTCAGGCAAGTACCGTTCCACCCGATGTGTAGTGGCACTAGTGGGCTAGGAATGCTACTGACTGCATTACTTCTGAGAGGAGTAAACCCTGTCAACCAAGAAAACAAAAGTATTGGATTCATCAAACTTTGTAAGACAGAAGTACGTGTAACAAAGAAAACAGTTAATTTAATTGCAATGTATTATTTTAATTAAATGTACCAATGATGAGGAACTTGTCGAAATAGAGGACAGTATGGTTTAAAACTGCAGTAAATATCAATGATAGCCCAACAGAATATACAAAAATAGTCCAGACCAGACCGTGCTATATCTCAAGCTGTTTAACTGACCAACACTTTTTGACTCTGAAATTGACATTTAAACAAAAAAAACTATACTGAGCAAGTAGACTTTCAGTATTTAACTTTACAATTAACATTTGTCACACTAATAATTGCATGGTACAGCAAAGTTTTTATCTTTTAGCCAAACTGTATATATTGCTCTAAACTAAATGTTTATATAGAATTATAATGATGCCACAATCAACTTAAACACAATGGGCATTTCCATGCATGCTGAGTCATCCAATGCAGCCTAGCTTTTCATCACAACACAGTAAATTGAATTTCATAATTCAGGCCACTAATATTAAAAAAATCATTGTTCAGTGCATTAGTGCTTGGAACATATTTGTATGGCTGTGATTGTCTAGCTTCTTGAATACATTTTAATTTGTCTAAAAAATTTATTTTGATTTCAGTTCGCCTAAACTGCAGAGACTTGCAGAAGCTCTGGCACCTATTGATTTACGTTTTGGTGGAACCATGGCTGACTTTTTAATATTTAGCCCTAATAGCCCAGCCAAAACTGTAAAGCTGTCTCCCCAAACAGATTCAGAGAAGACGTCAAGAAATACAAATCTCCTGCAGGAGACACCAAAGAATTTTACAATGACAGGTAGGTTAGCTGCATAAGCAGCTTCATTTAATGTTAAAGAACAGATTCGTCTTTTGTTTTTACATCACATAATGATATCACTTGTCATAGGTTTTGTTTACTTAATAACTATTTCTTCTTCTTCTTCTTCTCCTCCTCCTTTTTCTTCTCCAGCTGCATTTGCCTTTAAAGGGTGGGCGGCACACTGTGTTGTGATGAAAAGCTCGGCTGTGATATCTGCATCTCATGACCCAGCACATCCATTTTCAGCAAAACTCAAAACTTCAGACAGTTGGATAAATAATGGTTAAAAAAAAAAAGCAATAGATGTACTTTTAAAAATAAAATAGGAAACCATATATTTCATACATGGGTTGAGTTGAAACTTACAACATTGTATTCAGGACATTCCTTAAGCGCTTTATCCCTATCTTCAGCAACTAGCGCAGAGTTCCAGTTCTACTGGTATCACTTATCTCCTAACTTCTGAACCAGAGGAACACTTGCATGTACAAGCTATGTTCGACCCGTGCTGCTTCCACTTGGCAGTCTGCGTTCATCTAGGTAAAGATTCAACATCACAGCCTTCAGGTTCCCCAGCAGCTAGTTAAGAGTCTCCATTTTGATGGTACAGATTAACTATTCATCTTGCCTTTGCCCTGATTCTTAAGTGGTGCCTAAAGTCCACAGACAGTGCCTGCTGCAATGTTGTCTCCATATGCATGTTTTTTATATCTTCCACTTGTTACCTTACCCTATGCAAGAGATCAACTCTGCCTTAAAGAGCTGCAGTAGACCCCCCAAGACGGGCCCTTTAACCCGATTTATCTGCCTACTCATTCCCAAACATACCCAAATGCCTGGGTAAAATACCCAGGGGACTCTCACCACCTGTCACCTATGGATTGGTGCAACCCATTCCATTCAAAGAAAACCTGCCTCCAGCTTCCTGAGCATGCTTTGTAAATCAGATACTATGACATTATGTGTGGCTCATCTGTACCCATCAGAATACAGCAATTACATCCTTGCTTCCATTTTCATGATGGTTGGGATAATGTTGTATGTAAGCTGTCCTCATCATCATCATCAGTTCTCGTTATGCCTAGTGGCACATGAGGCTTCAGAGAGGACTTTCCATGCTTTTCTGTCCTGTGCAATCTTCAGTGCAGTTTTCCATGTCAAAGATGCAGAACTCAGGTCACTTTCCATCCTTCGTCTCCATGTTGTTTTTGGGCGCCCCTGATTTCTCTTTCCCTCTGGTGTCCATGTGAGAGCTGTTTTGGCAGGTATATCAGGATTCATTCTCATAACGTGGCCAAGCCATTTCCATCTTCTCTTGGTTATCATACTGTCTAAAGTTTCTTGGTTTGTGATTTGAAGTAGTTGAGTGTTTGAGATTGTATCTGGCCAGAAAATTTTGATAATTCTACGTAGACATGTGTGATGGAAGGTGGACAGGTTGTGTGCATCCTTTTTGGTCATTCTCCAGCATTCCGCTCCATAAAGAAGAACTGGCAAAAATGATGCTCTTGTAGAGTCGGAGTTTTGTTCCTCTGCAGTAATTGTTGGATTTCCAGATTTGCCTCATTCTTCCAAAAGCAGCTCTAGCTTTGTTCAGGCGTGACTGTAAGACTTCCTCTGTCCCTCCCAGTAGGGACACCACACTGCCAAGATATGTGAAATGTCCTACATTTTCAAGTGATTGGTTACTTATGGTCACTGGTTGTTGGTTTGGACTGTTTGTCATGATCTTAGTTTTCTTTGTATTTATTCTCAGTCCCACCATTTCTGCTGTGCAGTGTAGTCTGTTACTTTTCTCTTGTATATGTTCATGTTTATGTGATATGAGTGCTATATCATTTGCAAAATCAAGGTCCTCAAGCATGGTGAATGGAGTCCATCGTATGTCTCTTAATGTCCTGTCTACTGTGTTCTTTAGTATCCAATCAATCACAAGGTTGAAGAGGAAAGATGAGATAACACATCCCTGTCTTACACCTGTCTTTACTGGGAAAGATGTATTGTAATTTTTTTATACTGCAGGAAAAGTCTTTATAGAAGAGAGCAATTATGTTAACTATTTTTTCTGGAATTCCATAATGACGTAAAATTTTCCACAGACCGTCTCTATGGACGCTGTCAAAAGCTTTCTCAAAGTCCACAAAATTAATATATCTACTTCTCTGCCATTCATTGCATTGTTCTAAAATGTTACGTAGGGTGAAGATGTGCTCAGTTGTTCCTCTGCCCTTTCTGAATCCTGCTTGTTCCACTCGTATCTACTCCTTTTTCAAGCCGCATTATGATGATTTAAAAATTTTTTTTGCTTGGTACTGAGAGTAGAGTAATTCCCCTCCAATTATTGCAGTCTGTTAAATCTCCTTTTTAGGGGATTAGGACTATTGTTCATTCGGTCCAGTCATCATGCAACACTCCTCCCCCCCCCCCCCCCCCCAAATATCCTTGAACAATGGTTCTAGGATGCTAGCAGTTGTGTTGGGATCTACTTTGAGAAGTTCTGCTAACAGTTTGTCTTTGCCTGGTGCTTTGTTGTTCTTTAAAGTATGGATAGCTTTAAGGATTCCTTGTTTGCTTGGTGGTTTAGTGATAATGTCAAGGTCCTGAGAGGCTGGTTGAATATCTGGGGAATGTTCAGGATCAGGTCTGTTCATGAGGTTAGAAAAATGTTTAATTCACTGCATGTTTTGTTTGTGTTCTGTGGTAAGCCGTTTGCTTTGGTTATCTCTGATGGGTATGCTGTGGTAATTTGTTCTGTTTCTGCAAATTTGTTGGGCAATTTTAGGTAGGATTTGTAGATTATGTGCTTTAGCAGCATTTTCTGCTGTTTCTGCTAGATTTTCCACAAATCTTCTCTTGTTAGTTCTGGCACTTTTCTTTACCATTTTATTTAGTTCGCTATATTCTAACATTAGTTTGTCTTTCTGATATTCTGATTTAGTGTAATTTATGAGGCTCTTTATTCTCTTTCGCTTGGCAATATAGTCCATGGTTTGACTGCTTATCCATTCTTTGTGGTGTTGTTTCCTGGTTCCTAATATGTTTTTGCTGGTTGTTTTGTATGTTTCTTTGATCTGGTTCCATCTGCCTTGAATGCTGATTGTAGTTTGAGTGTCTGGGTCACCTGATAGAGTTGCAAATCTGTTCTTGAGTTCTACTATAAATTTAGTGGCAATGTCTTTTTTCTCCTTAAAGGTTGATATTGTAGTGTGCTGTCCTCAGTCATCCTTTTCTCTTTGCTTTTGCAGTGAAGCCCCATCCACTCTTCCTGCTTCTGGCCACTGACCCATCAGAGCATATAATCACATCTCATGGTTTAGAGTTTTCTTCTATCAGCTGTTGAACCTCAGTTATCTCACATCCTGCTACCCATTCCCTGCATTACTTTCCCAAGGTAATTACCATTTTCTGCAGCCCTTCTGTGCTCTACTGTCTCTTTACCCATTCTTCTCGGCTAATTTCTTCAACACTGGAGGCACTGTTGATTGCCTTTTCATCTCGTGCCATCCATGATCTACCCCTCATAAGTCTGTCATTCTTCACATTGTCTATTTCCCCATGAAGAATATGATCTCATATTTCTCAAACATACAATTGGTGTGTCCTTTGTGCATCCCAGAATGTTTTGCAGTCTCATTCTGAATATGTTCCAATTTCTTCATCTTAGATTTTGACATGATTAGTATCCCCAGGCAGTATTCAGTGACTGACATAACAAGGCACTGACTAAGTGCTAATAACATAACACAGCAGCCATAACTTTCAGTATGTTAAAATGACTGCAGCGAAATGGATGTCTGAATTGATAAGCCAGGGCAGCTAACTGTTTGACATGGCTGTCTGAGATTAATTAACCAGGGCAGATAGTTGTTTCACCAAGTTGGCAATTTGAGAATAATTAATCAAAACATACGTTTGTTTCTCACAGTTCAAGTTTGGCAGCTATAGTGTGGGTCTTTGTTGCATTCTGATCTAGATTCATTTGTCTCTTTGTGCTGCTACCTCTTGTCTAACATTGATCACTAATTATTTAGCCTGAACAGCTACTTGTTTCACACTGTCCAAGTTGGGCAGCTATGGCATGAGGTTTTATTTTTTTTATTCAGCCAAGTAAATCAAAAATTTTAGCAAGATTACATTGGTCTACTGTCCTGGTTAATGAGAACCATTGTTAAGTATAATAATGTTTCTACTGGAGTTAAGCTGAAGTAACCTAGTGATTAGAATAGGTACACACAAATGCAGTTCTTTAGGGTTAAATCATAAAAAAACACAGCAGTGTAATGTAACCTTTTCTCATAAGCAGGTGTCAGAATTTATCTAGAAAAGTCCGAATTAAATTGGTAGGCAAGGAAACCAAACAGTCCGACCCAATCGCTCTTATGAACTCATCGCTAAAAACTGTCAATTCTTACCCCCAAGAATGGATACTGATGAATCTGCATTTAAAGCTACCATTAAAGCAGGTTATGGAATCTACATAGGTTATCCCGATGGATCTGTTGAAGAGATTTTTGATGCATGCGGGGAATTCTGCTCAAATTATGAAGCCGAAATAATTGCACTGGAAACAGCAGTATACCACCTAAAGACTGTAATTTATGTTTACCCTTCAAGGGCCCACAATATTGTCATGTTCACAGATTCAGTGTCTGCCCTACAAGCTCTGGAGGGCAGTGAACACTGCAGAACCAACATAGCCAAGATAATCCTGGATGCTGATCAGCTTATTACCTCATACAAAATCAGAATAGTGATGCAGTGGATTCCAGGCCACTCCGGCACACCAGGTAATGGCAGAGCTGACAGACTGGCAAAGAAAGGAGCAACACAAGAACAACCATCTACAGCGACAACTTTACAGACAGCAAAAACTGATAAAAGCTATAAACAAAGAGACTTGGTTGAACAGATGGGCCATGGGAGACACTGAATGGGAGGTTTATAAACACATGGCTGGCCCTGATCCTAATGACAGCAATAACTATCTAACAAGAAGGGACCAGGCCACCATCTACAGACTCAGAACACAACATACTCCACACAATGGACACCTAAACAGAATACAGCCACAACACTCCCCAGAGTGCCAGCTATGTAACTACCCCTACGAAACTGTTGAACACCATCTCTTTGAGTGCCCAAAACTCAGTGAGACTAGAAGAACGCTACTCCTCCGAGACCAGACAAGTGGAACACCTTGTATGAAGGAAAAGAACAGCTTGTGAAAACATGCAAATTCCACTACATGGCATTGGGCCAAAGGGCGAAAGCTCATGCGCCGCTGGATCAATAATAAAAACAACAATCTAGAAAAGTAAACTGATTGTAAATGTGTTCTTATGTGGAGAAAACATAAGCCTATACATTTAAAAGCCTTTGTCACAATTTTATTTGATCTGTATCATAAAAAAATACACAACTTTTTTTTGTTACTAGACTAGCACTGGTAACTTAGATGTTTGCTTCCCTAAGCGATTGATCGCCTTATGTACTGGTACCATTTAGTGAGTCAAACATCTTAACTATTCTAGCCTATTTTGCTGGATCTAAAATTATTGTTGGTTTCACAACAGGGAACAGTATATTATAAGACTGCATTTGCCATAAAGAAAAAAAAAATTGTTTACTGAGACAAAAAATCACATCTACATTTAACTGGCAGTGGAGTGGAACACTTTTTTAAAGACATTTTCTGATAGGCTGCACAGTGTCTAATTTTGTGTGTGGGTCTCCTTGTCTGCTCCTTTTCTGAAATACCAGTTATTTGTTACTAATTAATGTATTGCAACATCTTACAGTTCTGTTTTATTTATAATTGTTATTTTACTTTGTATTGCAGGGGCGCAGTGGGATAAGCTCACTGCATTTGTAAAGACAGTTGGATGGAATCTCATATTTGATTTTAATGTGTTCTTGAGACGTAATGGTGTGTGGGACCCAGCAAATGCAGACAAGCTTCTGAATTATTCAGTATCAAGGGGCGTACAGTTTATTGCCTTTCAGCTAGGAAATGGTAGCAAACTTTTCAATGCATAATATGATTTGCATTTATGTATCACATTTGTGCTGAAGCATTTCACAAAACAGTCAGACTTACAGATGCCTGTAAATACTGTTTTACTCTAACTTCTGCAGTGTGTGTCCTCACTCCTGCAGTGTGTGCTTCACTTTTGCAGTTTGTTTCTTCTCTCGTACAATGTGTGCCTTCACTCCTGCAGTGTGTGCCTTCACTCCTGCAGTGTGTGCTTTCACTCCTGCAGTGTGTGCCTTCACTCCTGCAGTGTGTGCCTTCACTCCTGCAGTGTGTGCCTTCACTCCTGCAGTGTGTGCCTTCACTCCTGCAGTGTGTGCCTTCACTCCTGCAGTGTGTGCCTTCACTCCTGCAGTGTGTGCCTTCACTCCTGCAGTGTGTTGGGTCTTCACTCCTGCAGTGTGTGCCTTCACTCCTGCAGTGTGTGCCTTCACTCCTGCAGTGTGTGCCTTCACTCCTGCAGTGTGTGCCTTCACTCCTGCAGTGTGTGCCTTCACTCCTGCAGTGTGTGCCTTCACTCCTGCAGTGTGTGCCTTCACTCCTGCAGTGTGTGCCTTCACTCCTGCAGTGTGTGCCTTCACTCCTGCAGTGTGTGCTTTCACTCCTGCAGTGTGTGCCTTCACTCCTGCAGTATGTGCCTTCACTCATGCAGTGTGTGCCTTCACTCCTGCAGTGTGTGCCTTCACTCCTGCAGTGTGTACCTTCACTCCTGCAGTGTGTGCCTTCACTCCTGCAGTGTGTACCTTCACTCCTGCAGTGTGTGCCTTCACTCCTGCAGTGTGTGCCTTCACTCCTGCAGTGTGTGCCTTCACTCCTGCAGTGTGTGCCTTCACTGATGCAGTGTGTGCCTTTACTCCAGCAGCGTGTGCCTTCACTCATGCAGTGTGTGCCTTCACTCCTGCAGTGTGTGCCTTCACTCCTGCAGTGTGTGCCTTCACTCCTGCAGTGTGTGCCTTCACTCCTGCAGTGTGTGCTTTCACTCCTGCAGTGTGTGCCTTCACTCCTGCAGTATGTGCCTTCACTCATGCAGTGTGTGCCTTCACTCCTGCAGTGTGTGCCTTCACTCCTGCAGTGTGTACCTTCACTCCTGCAGTGTGTGCCTTCACTCCTGCAGTGTGTACCTTCACTCCTGCAGTGTGTGCCTTCACTCCTGCAGTGTGTGCCTTCACTCCTGCAGTGTGTGCCTTCACTCCTGCAGTGTGTGCCTTCACTGATGCAGTGTGTGCCTTTACTCCAGCAGCGTGTGCCTTCACTCATGCAGTGTGTGCCTTCACTTCTGCAGTGTGCGCCTTTACTTCTAAAGTGTGTGCCTTTACTCCTTCATGTGTGTGAGCCTATCTCCTGCAGTATGTGCCATTACTTCTGACATGGGACATGTTTCGTTTTCACTCACTAGGGGGTGGGTTTAAATCTTCCTTCCTGATTCAAGTGAGAAACCAAGACAACAGTCTTTTATAGCAAAGAGCAGACAGTGTCCCTGGATGCTCAGATACAGACACGAATTGGCTCATGCAAGAAATTGAGGCGCCTGAATATCTTCAGAAAAGGGAATTTAGATGCCTTAGACAGTGTAGATTACCCTTCCCAACAATTTCCCATTCTGGTCGTTAAATTAAGCCCCCATTTAAAATAAGTATATGGGTAGACAGCACTAACCTGACACACATCTAGAAATAAATTAAACTTCAACTATGAATGTAAATCAGTCATAGAGATGTTTATTAAAGTTAACACCAATCATCTATTTACTTCATACACATGTGGTCAAATGTCTAGGGGATGAATGACCAACACTTCACCCATATATATATATATATATATATATATATATATATATATATATATATATATATATATATATATATATATATATATATATATATATATGATCGCCCACGCCAGTCGGCAAGGCACCTGATGATGAGAATGTTGAAACTAGAAGCAAAATCATAGCAGTCTAGAAATTTACATAAGCACAACATGCCCATCTTCAGTAGCCAGCGCAGAGTTCCAATTCTGGTAGTACCAATATCAGTGTGATTATGTATCCAATTTTCCCTTTCCTTGAGTTTTGAGCGTCGGCCAGGTCCCCTATTCACTCCTCCCAGCACCATTCTTCTCAGACAGTAAAGATCTGTTTGTACCTCCACACTGTTAACTCACTCCCAAAGGATCCTTACATCCTCTGGCTTGTCAGGCATCAGTATACCACCGCCTAGTGCAGAACCAGCCAGTCTATGTGTCTGTTAATTTCCCAACACACCTGCATCCCCTTGAGAAGATATCCAAAGAATGCTAACTGCCTGGGACCTCAGAAGTAATGCTGGCCACTCTGCATGAAGCATACCTGATTTCATCCTTCTCAGTATGCTGTGCGAGTTAGTTACAACTATGACATGCATGCAGAGCTGGCTGTCAAGCCAGTTGAAGACTGCAGTCTACCTCTATTCTCAACCTAGTTGTTGTGGTGTCAAATGGCAGGCTTTATTGCACTAAGCAATGTTCATTCGCTTTTGCTAAGAACTCCCATGAACTTTGTCTGCCTGTCAACACAGAGACATCTGTGTAGGTAATTACATCACCCAGTGATTTATCCCCTCCAGTTTGGCTCACATAATGTTCTTATTTAGCCATTTTTTTGCATCTTCTGCACACAGCTTGACCTTCTCTACTTTTTCTTTTCTAAAACCTTTAGTCTGCTGTACTTCCTCTTTTAACATGTAAGGTGTCTTTTTCTATAATTGTTTAAGTGCTACTATCTTTGCTTTCTGTGCCTGTTCAACTTCTTGGGTCCACCATTGTAAAAGTAAAGTAAAGTAAAGATCCCTTATTACGCCTAAGGCGCATCGGGTATATGGGCAGAGCATCCCATATTTTTACAGACCAATCGGCACTGGATGGGTAATGTGGTCAGCATTACGCCGGCCATCTTTACTTCAACACTACAACCATCCTGGTACCCCTTTTAGGCTGGGTCGACCTGCGATGCCCCATACTACGATGAAAATTCGCGCAGCCAGCGGTGGGTTTCGATCGCAGCACGTTCCACCATTGAGGGTGCACAAAAGTAAAGCTGGTGGTTCTGCTGCATACCTTCTGTCAAAGTCATCTAAGAAGGGTATTGACCTGCTCATACTCAGAAGTATTTCTGAAAAGATTCATAGCAAAATTAGAACACTATGTAAGGAAGTTTGGCATAAGGCAAGTTGTGGGGGGGGGGGGGGGGGGGGGGGGTTGAAACACAATACAAGACTTTCATTGACCACACAAAGACATTTGATAGAGTAAGACATATTTATATGATAAAAATGCATATGAATCTATAAATTGGGGGAAAGACCTTGGACTTGAATAGGGTGGCTCAAGAGCATGGATTTTGGTGATTATGTAGGGGTAATGAACCATGACCACCAACACTTATCAGCAGGAGACAAGCAGGCGTGCACACACAGACACACACAAATACTGATAGACAGACACCACATACAGAGAAACACAATTTTAAGTACATGAATCTTAGTTTTGCCAGGTTCAACAGATATTCTAGTTTTAGTATAAACAGACAATTCTCTAATTATCAATATGTAAGTATTTCGAGTCTGTAAATGTTTTTTATACAAATACTTTTACAATAAGTTTCATTAAATCATTAAATAATTGTTTGTGACTGTTATTTCAGAACCAGATCTTTATGGACGTTATTTTAATGTTTCCATTAGCCCCAGCGACCTAGTTGCAGATTTCACAATACTGAGAACTTTGATTTCCAGTTATTCCCAGTACAAAGACCTCAGTCTGTTTGGTCCTGGTGTCACAAATGTTGGTGTCCGCTCAAGATCCATGACGTATTTACGCAAGTAAGTTCAGTTAAACTTTACTAGCAGTATGAGGTCTTAGACAAATTGAAAGAATGTCATATGGCAGAGAAGTAAAAACTGTATGCACAGGGGAGATGAATGGTTGTAGACCACGAGGCAGACCAAGAAGACGATGGAGAGATAATATTCAGACAGACCTGCTAATACTTGGTGTCACCAACTGGAAAGAGAGGGCCAGTCAGAGAGATGAATGAAGGCAGGTGATATTTGCAGCAATGAACCTCAAGGACTCGGAATGCTGAAGAAGAAGAAGAAGAAGAAGAAGAAGAAGGTCTTAGATATTAATTGCCATATTTTCAGAGTATTAGACAACATGGACCTCATGCCAATGGTGTATTGGGCAGATTATGCTAAACTCACATTTATACAAACCAGCTAACACTCGATCAGTAATGCAGTCATCATTATTTCGGCCACCTTAACCTCCCTGGAAAATGCCTGGTAATCTGATGCAGACTGTTTACTGTAACTGAAAAAAAACTTTTTTTACCAGTACAATTTTTCAGTCAATTGAATACAGTTTTGTCAAGTAGCCACACATTTTCTACAGATTAGTATCCAATACTGAAATAGAAAAACTCTGTATATCCCAGTTATGGGTTGAATAGAATATAAATCACTACTACTACATTTGTCACAGCATTGGAAATATGGTCTCTGATTTTAAGACTGGAGAGAAAATTTGTAATTTTAATTCAAACATTAGATTCCAGATATTTGTTTTGAGTGTAATAAACATATTTTTGAAGTTTAGAAGTCATTTGTGGGTGTATTGTGTGTGTATTTGAGTCCATAAATGTGGTAATATTAAACATATATTTAATATGCTTTGAACTGATTAAACCTGTCTTAACCTTTCTGATCACACAAAACTTTGTTATTATATACGTTAATTCATAAGCTCATGACCAGCCCTCTCATCTGTTGTGACTGGATTAGTTTTTGTGAGTGTGAAGGTGGCTGATTAGGCCAATTCTAGCACTCAACATTCTTGAGCAGTGTAGACAGGGAATTGAGATTTCTCTGGTGATTTGCTTCATTGTCTTTCCTGGTTTGTGTTTTATAAATTGCTGCTGCAGTTCTAGCAGTTTATTGGCCACGCTTCTTGATGAAGAGAGAAGCGCCAGGATGAGTGGTCACCTGCAGCCACTTCCCATATTTTAGAACCAATACAGAAGTTTTTCAGTGAGGTCTTGAGGTTGTCCTTGAAATGTTTCTTCTGTCCACCTTGAAAGCATTTTGTTTCCTCCCTTTTTTGTAGCTCACCATAGAAAATTCTTTTTGGCAGTTTGTGGTCAGGCATGCGGACTGTATGACCTGCCCAGCAAAGTTGTATTTGTTTTAGAATCAAGTAAATACTGGACATTCCAGCTCTGTCAAAGACTTCAATGTCAGAGATCTTGTCTTGCCATTTTATGTTCCTCAACTTTCTGAGACATACTGTATGGTAAAGGTTCAGCTTCTTTAGCATGGCGCTGGTAAACGGTCTATATTTCACATGCATAAAGATGTACAGCAAGTATGACAGCTTTGTACACTTTGAGCTTCATCTGCAGGCTGATGACAGCTCTATTCCAGACTTGTGTATGAAGTCTACCAAATGCGCTGCTAAATTTGGATATCCTTGATCTCTAGATCGATGTTTATCTTCTGAGCGAGTAGGTTGCCAAGATATGTAAACCTGTCTACTGTCTTTAGTGCTCTGCCCTTGACTGTGTACAGTAACTTCTTATCATCATCATCATGTAGCAGGTCCTTTGCAGAACGTCGCTGTCGTCACGGTCTGCCTGAAAGAAACTCTGTCTCCCGCCAGCTCTCCCATCTCATGTACTTTCATACTCAAGGAATCACTTATATCCTGTGCCCATCTTCGTGTCGGTGGGCCCCTGCTCCTTCATCCTGGTACCATGCCTTCTGCTTTGCAATCTGTAGTGGCGCTTGATATGACCAAAATATTTCAGCTTCTGAGACAGGATGCTGTTTATTAGTGTCTTCCTTGATTTTCAGATCTTTCAAGATGTAAGTATTTCTCCTCTTTTTGTCCAAGATATTCTGGTAATCTTTCTATAGCATTTCAGCTCACAAGCTCCTATTCTTTTTCTTAAGGACTGGGAGATAGTCCACAACTCACATTCATACGTTGCCACAGGAAAGATGCATGCTCTCAAAATTCTCATTTTGATCTCCTTGCTGGTGCTTAACCATAGACTTTTAAGGCTGTCCAATCTTTGCATTGCTATCGCTATCCTCGTTTTAATTTCTGCCAAACAGTCTCTATTGCTATTTATTATAGAGCCCAGATATTCAAAGTTTATGACATTTTCAATGTCTTTTTCATTTATTGTTATTTTTGGGTGGCAGCCAGTTTTATCTGTGGACATTATTTTCGTTTTCTTTAAATTCAAGAACAGATTTTGATCTTCACAGTGCTTTTGAACAGACAATATTCAATTTTCTATTCCCTTTATGCTGTTCGAAAGGAGGACTGTGTCATTTGCATAGAGGAGTTCCAGAATAGGGTTGCCACCAATTTTGAGCGGATCATAACTTTCACAAGTCCATGCAGCATAACACTGGTCATTAAATCTGTTCATAACCCAGTGTGTCTTGTACTGTGAATCGTTTTTGATCTACATTTCTCGAATAAAATGCAAATTTATGTGATGATCTTTGAATCTACAGATTTATAGAAGCAGGTGGCCCTGATGTCGTTAACGAAATTGGAATTCATCAGTAAGTACTGAAACTTGATCGATATACCTGCACAATCCTGGTGGGTCCAGTGTTATGTTATGTGAAACTACACACATAAAATCCCTTGATGGTAGTTTATAAAATGTCTAACCAGAAGTGGATGATGATCCCTGTTTTCTTAATCCACACTTGTCGCTAGGTTGCCTTAATTATGGTGTATCGTTTTTGGTTTTTGTTTAGAGCATCAGTGATATAATCTGTCCATTGCCTGCATTGTCTTCCTCTGGTTTTTATCCTGGTCCTTATTTTTCTGTATGCTGTTATGGATCAAGAGGGTATGACTAGTGTCTTGGCAGTGATTGCAGATTTACAGACACATTATACGACAGAATTTCAGGAAGTCTGGAGGTTTCAAAAGAACAATAGATTGCTCAGGACAAGTCATGTCTATGATGACCATTGTTGTGTCACTGGGAAGCGCATTCGATGGTGTTTAACTCACTTTGGAGTGGAGTTCAGTTCAGTGGGTTCTGGACAGCATGACCTAGCTAATTCTGGAATGTACAAGAGACACTCCAGTAGTATTTATGTAATATATTCTCACACTGCCTACTGTTGCAGACAGGCTCAAAGTTATGCAAGCAAAGTCATATCTCAGAGTAGCTGCAGACAAGAGGCACCTTCTGTATAAATTTCTATGTAGAGCTGAGGGTCACAGACTGAAAAGAAAAGGGTTTTGAATGGTGCGAGCTAAAGACACAATTGGACAAGTGTACAGGCTTGATAAATTTGGGGAAGGAGAGCAGTGGGTCAAAGTGTCTGAGCAAGAATCAGACTTGTGTAGGGTTCTAATCACTTCAGGTTGTGAGTGCAGGGACTGACCAGTGGGTGCTGCAGAATCAGAAGTTCAACAAATGATTCATGACTATTCCTGCCTAAGTGATGTGATTATCTATACAGATGGCTGTGGGTTGAGAGGCACACAAAGTGCATGAGTGTTCGTAGCAGAAGCTAATGGATGTCACCTAGTGCAACAAAACCTGGCATATGATATCTCAATGTCTAGTGTAAGAATGGAGGTGGAGGCAGTCACTGCTTCCTTCCGCTGGCTTAAGAATCAGCTGTACACTCATTTTGTATTGTTACTGACTCTCAGAATATGTTGAGAAAGGTGGAGACAGGCATGCTGAGTACAATATGGCAAACATCGCTTCAGTGACCCCATGTTGTTAGCATCTTTTTGATATTTTCTTCCCACTGTGGAGTTCCCGGAAACGAAAAAGCTGATAACTAGCTAAGGAAGGTGCAACTGAAGAACAACCTGACATACCAGTCTCTTATCAACAGAAGAAGAGAATGATCAAATCAATCAGAATGCCACCGAAACTGGCACAAGATGATTACCATATTATGGACAGACCAGAGCAAGTTATTATCCTTCGCCTTAGAACAGGGCACAATAGACTTCGCTCCCACATGTACAACAAATTTAAGATTGGCCAATCGGCCATGTGTACTTGTGAACTGGCACCTGAAACAACAGATCACATCCTTCAAGACTGTCCCATATTCAATGCTTTCAGGCAAAACATTTGGCCAAAAGAGACACTTGTGGAAGTCAAACTTTACGGGCCGCTTAGTGAATTACAAAAGACAGTGAAATTCATACAAGAGACGGCTTTGCAGATATAGACAATTTATTTCATGCGAACGAAAGAAGAAGAAGAAGAAGATATTTTCTCCGGGGATGTCGGTGTGTTGGGAAATAAGCAGGCAGATATACTAGCCGGTTCTGCACCACTTGGTGATGAATTTATGCATGACAAGCTAGATGTTGTGCCCTTTGGAAGTGAGTGAACAGTGCAGATGCAGAAATAGATCTTTACGGTCTGAGGAGAATGGCACTGCGGGGAGTTACCAGGCAATCTGGCTGACACTCAACACTCAAGGGAAAGGCAAGAGGGCTATACAATCAGACAATTATTGGTGCCATCAGAACTGGAACTCTTTGCTTGCTGTTAAGACGGAGCGCTAATGGGAGTGTCCTGAGCGCTATGATGTTGATTCTTAATTCAACATTCAAAATACAACATTAGCTATTTAGGATTAGAAAAGAGAATGTTTATGCAATGAAAGAAAAGAAAGAATAAAGTCTACATCTCATTAGAATTTAAATCAAATATGGTGATTTATATAATTGTGTTTACTTGTTTGCCACCTGCCACAATTTTGTCTCAGATTTGAAGTTTTTTTAATTGCACAAAACCTGTAATTTGTATTGTAATATATTCGTATTAGCTACTATACTAATGGTGCCAGTGCAACAGTGCAAGATTTCCTTAATGTGACCAAGTTGGAATCTTTAAAGACTGTACTCAATGTGGCCTTCAATCTTACTCGTGTAATTCCTCATCCAGTCCATATTCGACTGTCAGAGACATCTTCCTGCTATGGAGGTGGAGCAGTGAACAAATCAAATGCATATGTTGCTGGATTTATGTAAGTCTTTGTGATTAATTTGCTTAGTTTATTAATTATTTTGGTACCAATGTGTGAATCATACACAAATTAAACACTAGTGACATTTCAAAATGTTATTATACCTTTATTACACCCTTCCCTCTTTTCCATTTTCTTAGACCAATGATTCTAAACCATCTTGTACTGAAAGAGTTAACAGTTGTTTAGATACTCATATCTCTCTCTCTCTTGCTATATATATATATATATATATATATATATATATATATATATATATATTATATATATATTATATATATATATATATGTTTATAAACTTATAAAATACTAAACATAGAAGAAATTTGGGATACTTGAGTTAGTGGATAACTGGCTTTATTTAACCCTTTAGCCCCAAGAAGCACATCACCAACACTTCTTGCTGAGTCAGATTACCTGTCTTTTTCTCTTCCACCTTGTACCTCAGCGGAGTGTCGGGGGAAGATGTAACATTCGTTGATGAGCTCTGTCAAGAGCTCTGTTAAGACTTATGTTCATTTCTTTAATTAGGTCTGTTCCTAATGCCATCACTGCATGTTTTGCAAGGTCTCAGTGTGGCTCGATGTGGCAGATAGTACCAACGCATTCTTGTTAAGTGTCCAAACCACTTCATTTCCCGCCTGTTCTTTGAAGACTTGTAAGACTGGCTTTATTCCTAGCATTCGTCTGATTTCATGATTTTGTATTCTGTCTTTCCTTGAAACTCCTGCAGCTCTTCTAAGGCATTTAATCTCTGTTGTCATAATTTTACGTTCATTAGAGGATGTGAGTGTTCACATTTGGCATTGAAAGCATAGTGTTGGCCAAAATATAGTTCTGATAAGATTCACTTTATTACTCTGGGGTATCTGCTTGTGTGTTAACAGGGGAGATACCAATTACCTGTAAATGAAGGAAAACTGATTCTGTTTCATTGTTGCAATGGCCTGTTCTCGAGAAAAGTAGAAACCGAGGGGGTAGTAAAGAGAGTCATAAAATTTATGCATCATGCGTTCTTTGGGCTTCTAGGTAGGAACTTATGAACGTAGGATGCGTTCCTTGGGAGTCAAAGAGTTAAAACAATGAGCCAATGTAAAGAAACGAAACATACTGTTTATTCTGTTATTAAATCAAAAATAACTTGTTATTCCGTGAATAGTGATGATGAAAGTATGGTAGACTTTTTAAAAAGTCAATTTAATCAAACATTAGATGTGGAATGTGATTATGAACCAATTCTACAACTGAGCATTGCATGCCGTCTACATCGAATGAACAACGAACTTTATTGTAAAATGAGCCTAAATTAGGCACGCAAGCCTGTCTTACATTCGACCCTTCCAAACACATATCTTTCACACAGCAGTTGTATTTTATCAATAAAGCCTGTTATATTCTTGTAATAATATACATATTATGAATATCAAGTCAAAAACAAAAGCATGGGTGGTAAAATGCAAGCGCACGCTCGCGTGCACACACACACACCCACATGCACACGCAAACTCATTCACTCACTTACACACACCCACATATAGGCACCCAATAAGCACATACATACGCACACACCCACATAGATACATATACACACAGACACACACACATACATGCATACATTCATACATACACACACATACATACTTACACACACACACTCATACACACAGACATACACACAAACATACTTTTACAAACACACACTCTAAGACATGTGCAAACAACCCAGACACATACAGACACACACACACACACACAGCTATACAAACACACACACACATAGCCGCACAAATGACACATAAAAACACACACAGATGCACACAGACATAAACACACACAGTTATTATCAACTGATTGTGGAGTGTATATGACATCAGCTGATGGTGGCATCACTGGCATCTTCTAATGACATTGGAGAGAAGAAAGACAAGAGTTTCTCTACTGTTTATTGTCTGCCGAATGCAACCACCAGTGTTCATGACATACCAGAAACTTGTTCTACAGACACTGAAACAGTAGATTTTGTTGTTGCTCTATTTTCTATTTTTTCCCCACTCTGGATTTTGGAGCTCAGCTTGTAGTTATGACAAATCTTCACTCAGTACAAATAAAAAAAAAAGTAGGTTGCTCAATTACTGTTGTGCATCATAATGATGAGATGTCACAAGTGTTTGTGGGCGTTGGACTGAGTTTGAAGTATGGCGAGATCAAAAGAAGATTGGAACTATATTTTCATAAAGCTTCTTTTCCTTTTTATACCCCTGGATACAGCTTAATATAGACTTATATAGATCATTTCCTTGCCATAGGGAAATTAATGCATTATGTTGATGAAGGGAGTCCGGTTACTGACACAAGTGACAAATTATAGAAAGTTCAACTTCTGTTAGACTCTCTTAGTAAGAAAGTTCATCTTCTGTTAGACTTTCTCACAGCAAATATTGTTTGAATAAGGAATGATTCCAGCCAAAAATTGAATTTCAATAAAGCAGTATATCCAGAATAAGCCAGTTAAATGGGCAGTAAAATCATTTCTGCTTTGTGAAAGTTCTATGGGCTATGTGTATAATATAGAACTTTACACTGAAATAACTGCGGGCTAGTTCAAAACACATCTTAGTTTTTTTTTTTTTAGTTACTCTTTGTGACAAATCCTATTCAACCCATGTTTGTTATAGTTTGGTTATCAGACATGCCTCATCTGTTGCAAGATGGCACTATCAGCTGTTCATGGATCGATTCTACAGTTCGCCAGATTTGACATGGCATCTACTGGAAATAAATATTCAAAAATGTGGAACGGTTCGAGCTAACAGAAAATACTTCCTAAACAAATGGAAGATGTATTAAAGAAGTTAAATATAGAATAGCTCAAGCAAAGAAGCATTTTACAAAATGTAAATTTTCTATGCAGTCCTTCTTTGTAAGTTTAGATGAGAAGGAGAATTCTTAAAACATAACAACTTGGTAAACTTCCTGGAGTTTGTTGAGTTCTATAACATTGAGATATGAGCCCAATATAAGAAACAATACAACTCAGCTAATCAACTAAGAGAGAATTCCCATTTTCCTTATAATGTCACCAGGTTTCAGTGAGGTTAGTATATGTTTGGAGGATGTGGGGGGGGGGGGGGGGGGGGGGGACTAGGAGAGTTTGGAAGGGTTATGCTGGGTTGTAGGTTACTTATGATATTCATGCCCACTGGATGCATTGCATGACATGTATGTCAATATTTTATTTATGTTGCTGTATTAGTTTTAGACCACATTTTTTAGACAGAAGCATTAAAAGATTTATCAACAGTATTTTCAACATCTCTTTAATTACATTGTTATGTGTACATTTTCTGAAACTATATTTACTTCCAAATGTCTCGGTGAATGGCAACACAAGATGCTTACAGTTTTTGCTCTTAAGCTAGCTGGTAAAATCAAGTGCACAAAATATCCATAACTAACAGATTAAGAATTAATGTAGTATTTTATGAGAATGCCAGATTGATACCTCAATTATACTGTATATTACATTATCTCAGTAAAGTCATACAAATTCTCTCCCCCTTGTTGTGCCTCATTTTGGTGAAAACATAAAGCCACTGCCCCCCCCACCAGAAACATGCATGTCATTAAAGGTGTCTAATAAAGGGTTTGCTGAAATCAGATATGAAAGGTGCAAATATAGCTTTGATCTAAACCAGAAAAGAGTGTGCCAACCACCCTTCTAAGGATGAGCACAGAAGGAGAAGAAGAAAAAGTATACACATTTTCTCTGCAAGTTGTATAATTAGTTTTTATTTTCTAACCTACATGTGCACCGTTTTGTGAGATTACATTTGCAGCTGTTTGGTCATTATTTGAAATGAACATATACATGTTTGTATTTTTATTGTAGGTGGCTTGATAAGTTAGGGGTTGCAGGCCTTTATGGATTGCCTAGAGTATTCAGGCAAACTTTTATAGGAGGATCATATGAATTGGTTTCTTCCAGAACATTTAATCCAAATCCTGTAAGTCTGAAGTTTGTTATTGATGGATTATGTGTATGCTTCTTACAAAGTGTCTGTTTTTGTGTGAAAATGTTCATAAATCACAAAAACAGATGCCGATGTATGTGGCAGGCTATTAACTGTTGAATTTCAGATTGTTCTTTGTTTAAGATGTTGTGAAAAAAATGTAATATCACATGAACAAAAATTCAACAGATGTGAATATAGCCCTTATAATAGTGGGCCATTGCTACAAAGACATCACTTGATAACTGCAATATAGTGTTTGTGAGCCTCTTTTATGAAATATTTCTTGTCATATACTCATTTCTTGATGTGGTATTGTTGGGAATTAACAGTATGTTTATTCTTCTTATATTTAGGACTTTTATCTTTCACTTTTGTTTAAAAGACTTGTGGAGGGCCCAGTATTTCCAGTCACTTCAGTGCCAGAAGCAGAACAACTTAGAGTATATGCCAACTGTGCCAGGAGAGACTAGTGAGTGTTTGTTCTTGCAGTCATTTCATTACATTGACAATTTGCAAAGAGTCATTACTGGTCAGTATTTTTAAGATGTCACAGATAGAAATGTCGGTTGCTTGGGAAACCTTGAGGTTACTAAACAATAAATGTGCAGGTATCAGGGAGAGGAAGGAATTAGAGATCAGAAGACAAACTTGACCTATGTTCTTTAACATATGGTCCATGCACTGGCGTAGATCTGTCAATATTTTCCACCTAGAAGCTTAGTGACTGCATGACTCAAGTGCTTCATGGCAGATTAACAAATGCAAATGTCTGTATTAAAAAAAAAAAAAAACAGAGAATGGATGTTACTGTAGTGCTCCATCTATAAAAAGTGCTCCAGCCATATATATTAAATTAGTTATAGTGAGGTTTATCATCGCAGCCCTCCAGATCCATAGGTGCTCCGACCTGCTCCTTAATAGCTCTTTATCATCACAGCCCTCCAGATCCATAGGTGCTCCGACCTGCTCCTTAATAGCTCTTTATCATCACAGCCCTCCAAAGAGATCCATAGGTGCTCCAACCTCCTCCTTAATAGCTTCAAAAGTTTAAAATGACTGATGATGCATGTTCTGTGTTGAATAATGAAACGTCTTGTGCCCATAGTGAAATGTTAGTTTCTTGCAGCTCCAGTCTGGATAGGGAAACAGGGTGATACCCTTTGTCATGTTCATCTTTGTAGTAATTGCTGCGCATGACATTGATGACATCGCTGTTGTCCAGTACCAGACCAGCCATAGTAACTGCAGTGTCTACAAGATAATCTGCATTCTCATTGCCTTAAACACCTATGTTGCCCAGCACGAAGATGTAGGTTAGGCCAACGATTCATAAAGTGCTTAGTGATACAATCCATTCCAGTCTCATGAGCCTGGCTGGGTTTTCATGAGCCTGTTCATTGAGTCACTCATTTTTGCACGAGCGTGTGAATTCATCTAATGCCTTTGTTGCAGCTAGTTTCTATTTGTGGGGCTGCTAGCTTTAACAACAAAGGCACCATTTATCTCCTTGAGGTTTTTTTTGCTTCAGCTCACTGTGAACGCCTATACATATACCTTGCCTCAAATTACTAATCCATCCATGTAAACTGCAGTCACCTTTATCTGTGGCATCATCAATCAGTTTTATGAGGTAGGTGTCTGCTCTGCCAGAAATGTGCTGTCTGCTGTCGAGTGTGATATGGACTGTAATGTTAATGTTCAGTGCAGCAGACATGCTTATTTTTACAATCCTTGAGAGTTACAGCCAGTGAATAATGTGGTTTTATTTACCAAAATTAACCATCAAGATTAACTCTAGATGGGGTGACTGGCTGGTATGTGGAAATTGGTGCTGTTGTCGGCTTTCATGGAGCAACTGTTTTGTGGTGTTCTCTGGACAGTGGAATTGTGATTGTTCCGGGTCTCACAGTTAATGATAGAGGCAAAGAGAAACAAACTGAGGTACCTGAATGTAACTTTCGATAGAAGACTGTACTTTGGGGATCATATGGAGGCAGTTGCCGCAAGGTGCCAGAGGGGACTCAATACACTTGGGATTGTAGGGGCAGTGAAGTTATAACAAGGAGTGCTGTTCTCAGTTCTTCAGCATTCAGTGCTCTTGGTGGTGGATTGTGGACTTGTCAGCTGATGGAACTTAAACACATGCAGAATGAGGTCATAGGGGGAGTTCTAGAATCTGCCTCAGTGGTGTCTGTGCGATGTATACTTGCACTGCTGATTACTATAGATGGGCTTAGGGTGCTACAGTCACAATCATGTCTCAGTGTAGTCACAGACAAGAAGCACCATCTGCTTGAAGCTGTAGACAAAGCTAGGAGTCACAGACTGAAGGAAGTGGGACTTGGACGGCGCAAGCTGAGACATAATTGGACATGCCTGCAAAAGTCAGACTTGCGTACGGTTCTAGTTAAGTTTGGCCATGGGTGCGGTCACTGGCCAGCAGCACTGCAGAGCTGGAGGTTTAACTGGCGGTTTAACTGGCGGTTAATGGCAGTTCTCATCCAGGTGATGTGATTGTCTTTACAGATGGCTCTGTGTTGAGGGGCAGACTAAGCTCTTGATGTTTAAAAAGTGAATGGATGTCGGTTATTGCAACAGAGCTTGGCATATGACACCACAATATCTAGTTTGAGGGTTGGGTGGGGCAGGCACTGCTGTCTTCCGCTGGCTTGAGAATCAGCGATGCACACGTGTCATGGTTGAAGCTGACTCACTGAGCATGTTGGGAAAGGTGGAAACAGGTGTGCTTCATGGGAAGTGAAGGGCATAGCTTCAGAGGTCCCGGGTGGTCAGCATCCTTTGGATATTTTCTCCAGGATATGCTGTTGGGAAGTGGGTGCGTGGATGGACTGGCTGTTTTGCACACCTTAACGGTGAATTGATGCATGACAAGCTAGATGTTGTGGAGCACTTTGGCCCTTTTCATACTGACAGAATTAAAGAGAGCCAGATTCTGCAAGCAATGCTAGGATTGATTGCCTAGTATATATTGTTAACTATCTGCTTCTTTTGTCTCTTGTACTTGTTAGTGTGTATTCTTCATCCACTGTATTTTTGCAAGCAAATAATAAACCATAGTGAAACTTGTGTATATTATACAGTAACTTTGAAGTTTTACAACTAGTTTCAGATACCCTGTTGGAGCACTGGTTTTGTACTACCTAAATTTAGCTGATGAAAAAACTGTTTTGTCACTGACTCAGTTTTCGAGTGAAGATCGGGAAGTATTTTCATTGACTCCAGGAGACAATAATGGACTGCTGTCTAGGTGGGTATTAATGTTCTAATTGTGTTTAACAACAATGTAGGTGAATTTAAGTTTTCTCATTGCTCAGACGGTTAGGTCAAACTTAGCGGATGGAGTGCCTAAGGACATCTTCTATGGTGAATTAAGATCAATAGAAGATGCTGAAATCAGAGTTTATTAAGTACAGATGTCAAAAATTATCACTATCATACTCCTTATCCCATATTTGCACTGACCTTTGACACCCACTCCTCCTCTGAAATGATACTTCCTGACAACAGATGTACATGTAACTTGTCCTATTCTGTAGTGAAGTATCAACAAATAGGTATGGGATGTCACCACAGTTATGTCAACTATCTATATTCAGCACTCAGCTAGGTATAAGATGTTCTCTATCAAGAGTAAGTCGCATGAGAACAGAGTGTATATACATTTTGATGGACATGTACACATATTAGGATAACACCTCCCTTTGTAGTCACAAATGAAATCAGTACCTGAGACAAATACGCTACCATTCCTTGTAATCATACAGGTAATGATAAAATCATGTGGGTGGACAATCATCCTGTCCTGGACCTACTGAACCTTACTCCACTACTGTGCAAGTTAAATACCACTGAATACACTCCCAAGCTGCACCATGGCACAATGATTCACAACAATGGTCATCATAGGCCAGACTCATCCTGAGTTCTGATACCTGACATCCTGTTGTAAATTGTGTCTTATAGTCCAGCACTCCCTACAAAGACACTAGTCACACCTTCTGGTCAACAGTGCAGGATAAATAGCAAACACAATTGTGGCCTATAAGACACATTTACATCCACTAAGGACAATGTCACACCTCAGTGTACTTTCCCATAATGTAAGACTTTCCTGTAAGCCTTTGTCTTGTCTCTGTAAACATTCATCAGAAAAAAAACAAAAAAAATCTCCCTATCGCTAATCTTATAGTCTTTTCAATTTTAATTCTAACACAAATCCTGCAAATGTCATTAAATACACTTTATTTAATTTATATGTTAAACTTCTATGGAGTTGCTCAGTTTTACTGTTTCATAAGCTTTAAAGCTAATGTTTACACACTGATTTTACTTTCATACAACTAGTTAAATGTTGCGCCCAAAATACCAATTATGTGGTTGATATCTCAACAAACAGCTAAATTTTACATAGTGTTGCTCAACCAAAACCTGTAAAAACAAAAATGACTAATAATTTACACCTTAACTTTTTAGTAAAATGAGGAAAAAATCAAACTTTGAAAAAAATTTGTTACATCTGGAAATAAATAAGAAATACATTTAACATTTAAAAAAAAGTATGTTATAATACCAAATAAATAAAATACACATATAAGATCACTATATAATATCATTATCCTCATATCAGCAATGAAATATTACTTTTATAATATATACATATTGTCATAGTACATCATATATACTTCATTCATTTTTATTTCACTCTCACACATCTCATATACTCTAATAATGTGTTTCTGTAGTTGGTGTCTGGATCCATTATTGATGAATGTTTGAAAATTTTGCAAAGTTCTTGTTGGTGTGTTGAATTTTCTTGATTAGGATACTTTGAAGTTTTCTGGAACACAAATTTTCAGGCTGCTAAGAAATTAGCAATGTCCTCAAAAGTCACTTTATCGAAGACGTATGTACTATGAATTTGTCTCTGTGGGAAAAGTATGTTATAATTACGGTACTTTGACTTGGATTTTACAACTGGATTTTTTTTTAAATATCATGAGTAATGTATGTCTTTAAGACTGTAAATTTCAGTACAGTCGAGTCTGGATAAGTAGAAGTCGCAGGGACCTAAGAAAATGCTTCCTCTTATCAGGACTTCTACTTATCCAGACAGCACACACAATAGATAATTTACACTAAAACCGAGCAATAGCATTGACTAAAACAATTGTACCAGTCAGGAAACACCATAATTTAGCAAATACATAGCAGTAGAATATCAAACATGTTGAAAAGTGTAATTAATTTAGAAGGTATAATATTAAAACTAGGGCTGTACCGAATATTCGCTTCGTATTCGCTTTGGGGCTGAATAGTGGACCTAATAACTATTCGGTATTCGGCCAAAGTTGCAGTCGGGCCGAATACGAATAGTGGCTACCTTACACACATTTCTGCATACACTGCGATGAACTGAAAAAACTCTCTCTTTAACACAATAGGTACAGAATGGCGACATTCGAGTTACCATTAAAACAGTAAATAACTACCTGTCAGAGCCGTGTATCCCAAGAGACCGGCTGTACTGGTGGAAAATAAACATGTCAAGATTTCCCACCTTGGTTCATTCTGTCAAGCGTTATCTTTGTGCACCACCTACGAGCGTACCAAGTGAACATCTGTTTAGTACTGCTAGAAATACCTTCAGTGAGACGAGAAGTTGCCTTAATGCTGACAACATGGAACTATTGGTTTTGTTGAAAGCTAATGCCGCTTTCAAGCATTAATTAACTAAGCTTTCAGTGACAATTTACAAGCTTAGTTACTTGTTATAAAACTAAGAATACTTTCTTTCCTAGGTATTAGTTACCACAGACTGACTGAAGGATGCAAAACATAAAATGTTTATGTTATAGTAAACATTTTGTGAAGTAAAATTTCAGCATCCATTTGACATTAAGTGTTTTTTTTTTTTTTCGGAATCAATTTAATACACTATACACTATTCGAAAGTGGAAGAATGGGCCTCAGTTTGAATAGTGGGAAGACATAAGTAATGGTGGTATCAAAGAAAAGAATTATTCCTAAATGTGTAATAAAAGTGGATGGTGTTATTTTGGGACAAGCACAGAAATTTAAGTATCTGGGCACATGGATAACATCAGATGGAAGATGCATTACTGAAAAAAGAAACAGAATAGGACAGGCAAAAACTGCATTTTATAAAATTAAGAACATCTTATGCAATATATCTTTGTCATTGAAGATTAGAAAAAGAATTCTTGCTTACTACATACAGTTTTAACATATGGCTGTGAGTCCTGGACGATCGGTAGGCAGGCCAAACAATTTCTTGAGGCCTCAGATATGTGGTTTTACAGAAAAATGCTTAAAATACCTAGACAGCCAAAATAAAGCAGCCAAGAGGTTTTGAAAGAGGTGGGAGTCTGAAGACAACTAATCACAGATATCAGAAGGAGACAGTCATCATTTTTCGGTCATATTATGAGAAGAGGGAAAATGGAACAAGTGGTGACCACTGGAAAGATCTGTGGAAGGAGGGATAGAGGAAGACAACGAGAGAAGATTCTTGACAGTCTTGTTGCATGGCATGGAGGCATGTCAGCACACGAACTAATGCATGCTGCAGGAGATCGCTGATTGTGGCAAGGCGTAATCGCCCACGCCCGTCGGCCAGGCACCTGGTGATGACGATACACTATTCGTATTTGTATTCGGCCGAATAGTTGATCCCACTATTCATATTCGGCCTAATAGTAAAAATCACTATTCGGTACAGCCCTAATTAAAACCATATGAAAATTCAGACATTAATTAAAGAAAAAGTCTGATTTTGTTTTGCTTTTCGGACTGTGAAAAATGTATTTCCTTGGCATGTGTAAATGCAACCAATGGTGAGATTGCATTATTTGAGCACCCAGTCTGCATCATATAAATGTTAATTTTGTCAAAACATCTGACTGTGATACATCCACAGAATTATAATAAGCTAAAGCAGGTTTAAGTACATCTTCTTTCCATGAGTTAGTGGTTATGTGGTTGCTTCATCAACAGATCGTTTCTCTCCACACACACTCTTGTATTTTATGCAATGGCATTTTTAAAAAATGATTTAGCCGGCCAGCACTACATTTCGAGTCTGTCTGACCTCCAAGATGTGCAAATTCCTCTGCTTTTGTCCTAAGTAATGGCCCATTCATGGGTACATTTGCTGATCTAAGCTCAGTGAGCCATTTTAAAAAGTCAGCATCAACAAAATCGCATGTCACTGATTTAGCTCGCTGTCTGTCACTGTACACTCGAAAAACAATGTTCTGTAGCATTCCTTATGATTTAAAATGCCAGAAAGCGTCAGACTTGGAATACCATATTCCCAAGCTATATCCACTTTCTTCTTCCCACTATGTTCAATCTCTTCCAACAGTTAAATCTTTCTTTTTAAAGTTAAAGAAGTCAGTTTTCGACCGCCAGCCGTCATTGTTAAAACTGTATGCAGCAAGATATCGTAGCTGCGAGATTTCACGTTATTTGCCAGGCTAACTAACGAAAACTTTTTAATGAAATAAATTTTCTTTCTTATTGCAATTGAACAGTTTGATTTAAAAAGGGACGTGTATATAGTCGGAATTTATTTTAAGATTCGACTTGTCCAAATTTTCGAGTTAACCAGTTTCAACTTATCAGGATTTCAAATACTAAGATAAAGAAGGAAAATTGCAGGGACTAAGCTGGTCATGTTGACAAGGAAAATTTGACTTATCTGAGTTTGGCTTAAGTGGACTCGACTGTAGTAGTATAGTAATGTCATTTATTTTAACTGCATACTGGCCAATGTTAGCTGACAAAAATTCAGTAGTATTCATTTGTAACATTCAGTAGTAGTGGGATATTGTCATGGAAACTGATCTCATTATGGAGGAAAGTATAACAGTCAAATGATGTTTGAAATTATTATAGTCTACTGAGTAGATCAGCAAAGTTGTTACTTGCCCCTTTAATGTGACTGATTTAAAACTGGTATTTCTGAAAAAGTAGTGCCCACCAGACAATTCTGTTGTTCTTGAGTACTCCTGTTTTGATGATGAGGAGTGGTTTATTGTCTGTCGCAAACCCATGTGGAGATATCTACTTATTTAGTGAGTATGACTTTGTAGTCAGATTTGTTATTGTTATTGAATCCTAACACTGCAGACCCATGTGAGAAACTTAACTACTATATGAGCTATGTTTATCCCAGACACAGTCCTGGAAAACCAAGGAAACAGCCAAAGTGGCTCGTACAAAAGC